GAGATAAGAAAATATATATAAAAATAATATTTCACACACACACACACACACACACACACACACACACACATATATATATATATATATATATATATATATATTTTTTTTTTATTTTTTTTTTTATTTTTTTTTTAATTTGACATATGGTTTGTTTGTACATGTAGATGATTGTTTTTCACTATTTTGATACTATGGAAGACTGTTTTTCTTATGTACATGTGAATGAGAAGCTATGGATGATGATTGTTATATCATTGAAGTTCTGTTTTGTATGGATGAAAATGTTAATGATCCATTTGCGATAACAAGTCATAACCAGATAACAGTAGGTTACAAACAATAACATCGAATACATACTTGGTCATAGACAGTCACAATTAAAATAAACTTGGTCACAAAGAGTTAGAGTTAAAAAATAATAGGTCAAAATGGTAACAATGAACACATAATTAGTAATTAACCGAGTATATTCATATATTTTTATCATAATCAATATTCAACACTGATGTAGTTACGTATATTAAAAGTTAATATAGAAAAACTCACATACAAACACAGTTAAATAGCAAATTGTTGTATATAGTCACAGTTAAACATTAACCGATCACATACAATCACATAGAGTTATATTAAATACAGACACGATCACAAAAATTAACATCTTACAAATATTTGGTTACAAACAATAATAGATAACACATATTTGGTCACAAACATTCAATGTTATAACAAATTTGGTGACATATAGTTATATTTGAGATACACAGTCACATATAATCACAATCAACACATATTATTTCACAAACAATAACTCCTTAAACAACCTTGATCACATGGAATAACATCTCACGTACGATTGATAATAAACATACATTGGTACTCTAAACATGGTTACACACAGCACATGTAACACATTCAATAGGTCAAATTCAATAAACTTGTTCCTAACTCACGAATTCAGATATCATTGAATAAATTAGAAATTTCATTTAATGTCAAAATCTTAGTTCAATAATATATCAATTCAAATATTCAATAATATTCTATTCGTGAATAAAATGAAAGAACTTGTAACTATCAAGAATATCCTCACATAGCAAAAAAATATGTTAAGCTATTTGAATTGCTTTGATTGTTTCTTTGCTTTCAATTTTTTCTCTTTCGAGTTAAGTGGCACCATGTTCTCGTCCCCTGATTGTGACCGGATTTACCCATCTCCCACATTTTATAACTTGCGATCTTTCACATGACTTCTTCCAGTTCCTAGTAACGTGTCCAGAACATTTTTTTGTTTTTATTAGGGACGTCACCTCCATAAAATAAACAAAAATGCCAACTCCCATCATTGTTCACACATAGATAATAGCAAGTCACATTAAATTTATTATAGGTCACAAATAGTCACATTTATTAGAGACATGTTCATAGATTGTCAACAACTTGGTCACAGAAAGTCGCATTTAATTCGAAAAATCATTACAGATTGTTTTACAAAATAATTATGTTTACAACAACACTTTTTGATCAGCAAATTCAGAATTTTGAAATTAAAAATAATAACATCATACTGATTGGTCACGACATTGAAAACAAAGGTCACAAATAATTCATTACAGGTCACCAATAGTCACATTTAATAGAAATAAGTTCATTGTGATTGAAGTACAGACCTAATCACAAATAGTCCCATTTAGTGCAAAAATGGTTATAAATGATTTTTTTTTTTTTACCTAATTATGTTTAAAAAAACACTTTTAGATCACCAATTTAGGAATTATGAAATTAAAAATAATAAATGCATACTGACTGATCACAACATATCACAATTGACTGCATCACAATAATTTTCTCACTTAATTCAACTAGGATAATAACAAACTTGTAAAAGTAAACACAAAATCAAGCATGATCCATATCATTTTATTAGCATTTCAATCCTTAAAAAATCAATTGCAAGTGAGATTTTGCTACCAAACCAAAGAAAAAATTTGTTATAGGTAACACTGATGGAAATGATATGAGTAATTGATGAGTAACTTTATTCAAATTTGGGAGAGCAAAAAATAACCTTTTAAATTTTCGTGAACAAATACTGACTTATAGCAAGTTCAATGATAAAATAGTATTGTTTTAAATTTCGATGAGCAAATAATAACCTGAATTTGAACTGATTAACTTAACTCATTTTTGCTCTATACATTCCCTTTCTTTTTTATTATTTATAATCAATTCAACATTTTATTATTTGCATAGAAGTTCTCCTGATTTTGTGGCGGGAATTAAGTCCCCGTTTGTTTATTATTTTTGAAAGAATGAGAACGAAAAATATAATCGCTAAACGTTCCATATAAGAGATAAAAATTCAAATTTAATGACTTTTTTAACGGCAAAAGAATTGGAACAAAGCAGGCTAAATCTCTCCTTCTCTATCGATCATCACATTGCAACTCCATTTTGCTCATGCATATAATTTATCTCTCTCTCTCATCATAAACTTTCCGTTGATTTAGCGGCCTCCGCTGGCTGCGATCAATCCCGAGGTAAATACGCACTATTTCCGATCGATCCACTCTTATAGATATACCTGTATGCTCACAGGAAATTGTGCAACAATTACAACGAGTGGATGTCGGTGTCCGTAATTATTAATCATATTCGTGAACAAACTTGTATATATTGTTTAACGTTCAATTTCAATTGCCTTCTTGTTACTCAATGTTTTGTATATATTATACGCACGCATAAATGAAATTATGTTTTGTGGGTATGAGCAATTGGATCGTCTTCTTATAATATACCCTTTGTAACTTCAGCTCTATCATTTTCATTTCATGATTCTTGCTACATTGTCCTAACTTGAGCGTGCAATTTATGTTATGTTAATTTTCAAGCATACTTGTTAGTAATAACTAATACAGTAATACCTAACGATATCTTTAAAATTGTGGGTATATGAATTCGACTATTGTTTTAAACTATATAGCAAAACACCATCATTTTGTTTATTTTTCTGGCAGAAGCAGTGATATTTGTGGACCCCTAATATAGCGAGAATAATGCCTAGTTTGTTATTGTAGAACTGATATTACTTATTTTTTATTTTTCTTTTGGATGGTTGCTACTGTTTTCTTTAAAAAAATTTTTTATGGCCCTTTCCAATAGTGTAAGCTTTTGGAGCATTGGTTTTTGGCATTATAATAATATCACAGCTATTGCCCCCAGTTCATTGTAAATTTGGGATTTATGAAGATAACTTATGGGTTGTCTGGATTTCCACTCCGAGGATTTGTATCACTTCTAAGCTTCTTTTTCAAGACTCAAGAAGCTATTTCTAGTCATCCACAATTACTAGTAATATTTATTTTTCAATTTGTGTCAATGAGCAATCTATATTAAGTTCTTGTCAAAATATCGTGAATCAAAGGAATCTATAACCATAATAGTTACTTTTCAAACTAGTCTTAAGCTCGGGGTTATACTATTTGCTTATGAGTAGTGCATAGATGTTCAGGACAATTCTCAAACTGTTAATGTTATTCTGGTTATATTGTTCTATATGATGGAACTATTGTAGGAACAGAGTCATGGAAGTTTCCACAAAAAAAAAAAAAAAAAAAAAAAAAAAAAAAAAAAAAAAAAATTATATTTGGTTTCCA